TCAGTCTTTGTAATGGAATGTTGGCCTCCTAACAATATAAAAACTCAAACAAAGTTAAACGTCTACTATTAATAACTTGTTTATATATTATATGAAAGTATTTGTGTTAACTTACATTATTTATTGTCGCATATGGTATTAAGTCTTCCCAATCCAACAGATTTTTCCTCTTCCAGGAAATAACCCTGCGAATATCATTTGACGTTTTTATTGCATATGTACGCATGCTGGGGAAAGCCTCGAATATCCAAATCTACAAACAATATAATAACAAACATTAGTAATTGTTAAATAATTAATTATAATTTTGGAAACATTATATAGAAATTCTTACCTTAAAGGCCCAAACAAAGCCTGACAAAGTGTATTTCGACCCATCGCCACGCAAACTTTTGCGGTTATCAAAGGCAGACGACAACTTAGTCCAGGTAGCTTTCCATATATACGAATCCCACGGAAACAGATTCCATGCATTCAAGTCCTCTACCAATAATATTAGCTCCTGAGGAATAGGTTGTTTGGCCTCTCTGCCTAAAAAGCCGGCATACAAAAGTACTAGAAGGCATACTCGGACAACATCGATGTCATCCATCCGAGTGAAACCATCTTTCTTATTAAACAATTTCTTCAGGTCGTCGACGTGTAGGTTCGGCTTCTTCATTGACTCATCAGGAAAAACCCGGGATAACCATGATGGGCGGGCGATATGACGAGTGTACCGGCCTACATCATCGTGTCCGAATCGTAGACCAGTGATTAAGTAGAACTCCTTCCGCCCAAAACAAGTATACGCCGGTGGAAAATGAAACCATATCTCTTCCTCACCACGTTGTATACTGTCGGGTAGATTTGATGTCATGGTTTGAAGCCACAAATGGGTCAAGTTAGCATCTCCACCCGGATGTTGTACTCTCAGCCATGGCCCGAAGCAGGTTTCCTCAAACAATTGTCTTTGTGCAGGTGAAATCTTCGAAGCAATTGTAGTGGCTAGGCTAACTTTATTCCTTAATGTCAATGAAGCCGAAAAAAATTTCTACAAAAATAATAAACATACCAAGTTAGATATACCAAAAACTACACTGTGAAGATATACCAAAAACAATAAACATAAAGAGTAGTAGTTTATTCTTCAAACTAAAATTTGCAACACTGTTTTGTCTTTTGGTTGAAATGAAAATCGCAACGAGAGAATGACTATCGCAACGCGGAAATGAAAATCGCAACGCGGAAATGAAAATCGCAACGAGAGAATCGCAACGTGAAATGAAAATCGCAACGAGAGAATCGCAACGCGAAATGAAAATCGCAATGCGATTTTGGTTTCGCGTTGCGATTTTCATTTCTCTCGTTGCGATAGCCATTTTCGCGTTGAGATTCTCTCGTTGCGATTTTAATTTCTCTCGTTGCGATTCTTCTGCAAATTTAAACTTTAATTGATTGCATTACTTTAACCAAAAGACAAAACAAAGACAAATACTAACTTCACAGGGTTAAGGACTAAACAGTTTAGCAGTATTGGCAGCAATCGAATGAATTTAATAAGAAATCTAAGTGAAATGGTTAATCTATTATTAAAATTACCAGAAAACTAATCAAAAGTTTCAATATGAAAAACCTAAAATAATGCAAAAATTTCAAAATAAAAATAATTAAAAAAACTAACCTTCGGATGTTGATTTTCCATTTCTGAATGATTGTGAGGGATTTCTGACCGTGAATGGTTGTGAGGGATTTCGCCAGAGATGGGGACGGAAATCTTCGGAGATGGGGACGGATTTCGTAGTAGAGAGTGAGAGATGGAGATGGGACTGAGTTGTGATTTTAGGTTTTAGGTTATGAGTTGCGATTACGGGATATACTGTGGACGGTTCAGTGTTCCGATAATTAATATTCGTGTTTGGAATTTGAAAATAAAATACGCGTAACGATTCTAATGGCGCTTTAAAAATCGCGTTGCGATTTACGGATACGCGTTGCGATTTTTCGTATTGTCGTTGCGATTAACGTATTCTCGTTGCGATAATCAGAATCGCGTTGCGATTTACGTATTCTCGTTGCGATTTACGGATACACGTTGCGATTTTACGTATTGTCGTTGCGATTTACGGATACGCGTTGCGATTTTTACGGGTACTCATTGCGATAGTCAGAATCGCGTTGCGATTTACATGTTCGCGTTGCGATTTTCATATTCGCGTTGCGATTCAGGAAAATCGCAATGCGATAGTACAAATTCGCATTGCGATTTTCCAGATTCGCGTTGTGATTCTTGAAACTGATTTGCGATTCTGGAGATCGCGTTGCGATTTTTATTTCGCATTGCGATTTTGTTGATCATTTTGGCAAATCCAAAAAAACGTTGGTTAAAATCGTATATTATAAGGCATTTTTGGTCACTGAGGCGATTTTCTCTTTTTTTGATGATCATCATTGACCTTTGAAAGTAAATTTTGCAAATCAAAATTTTTCTTTTCAAACTCTTCAAGTTTGTTTTGCAAATCTTTGATTTTACTTTCAAGATCGTTGTTGGTTTTGAATATGAGTTTATTTTCATTTTTCAATTTTGAAACATCATTTTTATATTTTAAAAATAATTTCTCATAATCCGAAGTCAACCCATTATATTCATCTAATAGCTCATCATAAGATAAATCATCAAAATCAGATGAGTTAGAGGTTACCTTAGAATCTTCCCCGAATGCCATTAAGCACAAGTTTGCTACTTCTTGTTCCTCTTCATCGGAACCTTCTTCATCACTCCATGTAGCCACATGAGCCTTGTGCTTATTCTTTGATTGACCATTCCTCTTCAATTGTGGGCAATCATATTTGACATGCCCTGGCTTTTTGCATTCATAGCAAATGATGGGGTCCTTCTCTTTTGGTTCATCTTTGAGGCCTTCATTTCGTTTGAATTTTCTTCCTCGGTAAGGTCTCATCATTTTTCTGAACCGTTTGGCAAACAATGCCATTTCCTCGTCATCATCATCATCATTAGAATCACTCTCATCTTTTGTGGATTTGAGAGCAACTCCAATGTTTTTCTTCTTCTCCTTCTCCTTTGGTGTCTCTTCAACTTTATCAAGGTTCACCTCATCTTCAAGCATCATCTCATGAGTGAGGAGTGAACCGATAAGTTCTTCAAGAGTTAAGGACGATAGATCCTTAGACTCGATGATTGCCGTCTTCTTTGATTGCCATGATTTTGGGAGTGAGTAGACTAACTTCCTCACAAGCTTTTCATTTGAGATGATCTCTCCATATGATTTGAGACCATTGACAATCGTTGAAAATCTATCCGTCATAGCTTTGATGTCTTCATTTGGTTTCATCCTGAAATTTTCATAGCTATGCGTTAGAATACTAATTTTTGATTTCTTTACCTCATCGGTACCTTCATGTGTGACTTGAAGCTTGTCCCATATTTCTTTGGCGGTTGTACACGATGAAACTCTTCCGTATTCATCTGATCCAAGAGCACAAAAAATAATATGGATGACTTTGGAGTTGAGCTGGAACATTTTTGTATCTCCTTCACTCCACAACCTTGGATGAGTGATAGGCTTGATGTATCCTTCTTCTACGGCATTTCATGCTCCCATATCACTTGCTTGAATGAAGTACATCATTCTATTCTTCCAATAGGCGTAGTTAGCTCCATTGAAGAAATGAGGCTTGTTGACGGGCATCGAATCGAGACCGGAGTCGTAATTTGAAGTGGAGGCCATTGATGACTTGGTAATCGATGTAACTCTTCCCGGATCGACTCAAGAGGCAATTAAACCTTCAAATGAGTTAGGCTCTGATGTCAATTGTTGAGTTAATCGATTGACGAAATCGGCCAAGAGGGGGGTGAATTGGTAATTAAAAATTTTGGTGGAAGCTTTTACAGAAAATTGAAAAGATTTGCACAACGATTTAGAGTGGTTCGACCTTCTCAATCAAAGTCTACGTCCACTACCTTAGCTATCCACACTAAGGATTTTCCAACAAATTCACTAATTTGTTCTTTCTTTTGAGGCTAAAGAGATAATCTTACTACTTCCTCAAGAATATACCCCAATTCTTGAGAACACTCTTTTCTCAAAGAAAAGATTACAAATTTGCAAACTTACAAGAAAACCTCACAAGGTAAGATGTTTACACAATTCTAGAACAAAGAAAAGAACACTCAAAGATAAATACAATTGAGCACAATAAGTGTTCTTGAAAGAAAAATGAATATTGAATGAAAATAGGCTTGAAATGCTCAAACTTGAGGTTTGATGCTTTCTCTTTGATTCTCTCTTGATTCTCTCTTGATTCTAGTTGCTTGATGTTTCTTGTTCATGATCAATGGCTTCTAAACTTGCTTAAATACACCTTGAATCACTTCTGAACATTGGGGATGATTAGAGAAGATATTATAGCCGTTTTAGTTGAAAACATTTAATAAAACAGCTTGGAGCGTGGGGGAATCGGTACCCCTATGGGGAATTGGTTCCCTAAGTGTAAAATTCAAATATTTCGACCGTTATATAAGGGGGGAATCGGTACCCCTTGGGGGGAATCGGTTTCCTCCGAGCATACTGAATTCTCGGAGCCAAACTATTCAGGGGGAATCGGTACCACTATGGGGGAATCGATTCCCTCCGAGCATTCTGGAAATCTCGGAACCAAACCATTAAGGGGGGATCGGTACTCCCTTTGGGGGGGAATCGATTCCTTCTGAGCAATCTGGAATTTTTGGCTTTAAAATGGTTCGAAATACTTTGTAAAATTATTTTGAAATTGTTTTATGATTTAAAACTTAATTTTACACTTGAGTAAGGATTAAAAATGATTTATGAAAGATTTGGAGTAATGTTTTGATATTCGAATAATTATATCGAATATACTTAGAAAATCATTTGGAAAATCTTAAAATTCATTTATCTTAATTTGTTATATCGAAATATCAAAATGTTTCAACACTTTGGCCCATATCCAAGCCCCAGAATATATCCAGGTCTCGTACCAAGTACCTCATCCATTATATCATCAATATTCTTAGATTCTGCTCCTTCAACTGGAATTGATTGCAACTCCACCAATTTCTCCTAAAAAAATCATTCATAAATAAAATAATCTTTAGATGAAAAATTACAATTTAATACTTAATTTTGTAAGGTCTTACATATTTTGCTTGTACCTCAGTTGTTATCCATCCTTTGTCATTTGATTAATGAGTTGTCTTGAAGAAATTCATCCTATTTGGTTCATCATCTTTGCACTATATGATTTCAAAATATAAAAATTAGATTTTAAAATAAAAATAAATTTTATAATAAATATCAAAAGTGTCCAACTTACCATAGCATATCAACCAACGACAAAAGCCCAAGATCCTTGATTAGGAGTTAACTTGACATTTCTTCCAACTCTTACATTAGTTTCACACTTCCTCTTCAATTATAAACATGTATAAACATAATTTATTATTTATTATAGAAGTAAATAAAAAGTAAAAATTTATGAATCACATAAATCAAAATACTGTAATTGTACCTGATATTCAAGATCACTAAACAAATCACAAAGTTGTTCCCAATTTTCTTGTGCTAAGTTATAGTATCGACATGTTTTGGCGTGCCACAACATCATTTGAGAATTTCTTAAAGTGCCAAAACGTTGAATTGTCCGTCCAACTCAGTTGGTTAGAGCGCAAGGCTCTTAACCTTGTGGTCGTGGGATCGAGTCCCACGGTGAGTAATTCATAATTCTGACTGTCGGAGGTCTCTCACGAAAGCTGCTCTCAACCTAGTCGTTGGGGACAACCTATTATCCTATCTCTCCTTATCCCATTACATATGAGAATAGGATCAGCTAATTTAAAGTGCCAAAACGTGAAAAAGTTTAGTATATGAACCCCTCCTTTCAGAACAATGATACAAGGATCAAGCAATACCTGCACAAATCACCAACACTTATCAATATCCTCATTGCTCATCGCTCACTCTCTTTTTCTTTCTTTCCGAATAACGAAATTTTTACAATGGGCAGAAGGATCCGGACAGGAAAATCATGATGCAACAAGATCAGGCGTTTCAGCTTCAATCCATAACGAGGCAGTGTGCACTTTTTCCATCCAACTATCCAACCGCTCACGCAAGGATTTGATCTGTGGAATCCCCAAAACTCTTGGTTGCACCCAAGAAACATGAACTCCTCCCTCAACTTGATCAATTATGCCCTCAATCAGATGAACCTGAAGTCGTTATTCACAAAAAAAGGTTATACCAGTTATCTTTAGAATTTTGAACCACCTAAGGAGCCAGATTAATGTAATACAATACTTGATAATTTGTTTTTTCCTTTGTTTATATCAAAATATATTTGTTCCCCTTAATCAAAGGAAAAGGAAAAAGTGAAAAAATCAAAGACTAGAAATGTGAAGAAGACTTTTAACTTACAGACAGGCTCTTCATGAGAAGATGCTCGACATCTTTAATTGACAGTTTTGTTCTCTCAACAATAACTTTTAATGGAATAGTTCGATCATCAAATGGGCGGTTGCATCAAAACATATTGTAGTTTAGTTTTTAACCATACTTACAATTATCAGCAACTTTGACCTCGTCCCTTAGAACACTAGAACCATAACACACCTGAAGGTAATCTCCATCAAGCAGAGAATATTATTTTTTTCCAACAGCTTCTTCTCATTCTCAACCAGGGCTGGTTGAGCCCCCAATGCAGCATTGTGCACCCGCCACAATTCTTCATAGCGAACCAAATTCCCTGCGTTGAAAGCTTGGAGGATATAATAAAGCCATTCCACCTTGGTCCCCAGAAGACTCTTTATCTGTAAAAGATGCCAAATGTAATCTCAAACATAACAAAATAAAAACATTAACGCAAAGAAATTCAGAAGGAAAAAACCTACAACACAATCAGCCTTTTAAATCAGCCCTACAAAATGAAAAATAAGCATATATGCATGTAATTGCAATAGCATAAAAGAAAAAACAAAACAAAAGAAGCCCTTATCATCTGGTACCTTTCATCCACTACTTAGCTTCCTTGAACCTCCACATATATTTAACCTGGCCATCATAAACTAGACCTATGATCTTTACCTTTGTGCAATTAGAAGTAATTTTCTTAATCAAACACTACATCGATCATCTCCATAACATTTTTGAGGAGCCTTTTAAATCAGCCCTACACAATGAAAAATAAGCATACGTGCATATGTAATTGCAATAGCATAAAAGAAAATACAAAACAAAAAGAAGCTCTTATCAGCCGGCACCTTTCAGCCACTACTTAGCTCCCTTGAACCTCCACATATGTTTAACCTGAGCATCATAAACTAGACCTACGAACCTTATCTTTGTGCAAATAGAAGCAATTTTCTTAATCAAGCACTACATCGATCATCTCCGTAACATTTTTTTAGGAGCTCTCTACAGACAAAAGGTGCTTAAAAATTTTCATCAAACCAAAGCTTGATTAACAGCCCAAACTATAATTGAACTAAACCCCCCATCTACATTGGAATTATATCAGATTTTACATAAAAACAGACACAGAAATATGCTTCAATGAACCATTGCTGGTCTTTATCAGGTAAATAGTAGTATCCTGCACTAAGAGTTAACTTATACATGCTTCACATATTAATAAAAGAGAAAATAACAAGCAGGTCAGAGTATCATCAATTAAAAGTTAACTTTTACCGACAAAACTCGCTAAAAAGGAACAAACAGTCAGGAATATCATTTGAACTAAATAATGGCACATATTGCTGTCGCAACATGAAAATTTTTTGCCAGTAAAACCATCAGATGAAAAATATAGTAAAATTAAGAAACTTGATAAAAAAAATGTACTCACAATTGGATTCCTTTTGATCACCTTGCTCAAGCTTGAATTTGGAGATTTGCATCTTAATATAAAGAATTGGCTCTTCTATTCGCCGCTCTTTAGTAGCCTGAAGCTTTTCAATCACCCCTTCAAGAAAACTGATAGCAGCCTCTTTCTCTGAGTACTGCTGAGAAACTATAACAGCAAAATGTGCAAGCTTGAGAGGATTAATCTTGGTCTCAAAGTCAGTGATAAAGTTGTGATACAACTTTATCAGTGCATCTCCAGCCTGAAATTTAAGAGAAACAAGTGCTATTGGAAATTAGATGAACTAGCCAACATCTAGCACATGGGGTACAATTAGTTCATTTGCTAATATGTACGCATGAAGCACTAAAACAAATAGAAAGCCAACTTTCAAAATGAAAAATCATCATGTAAGCCACGCTTCAGATTAGTTATCCATGCATTATACAAAGGCACAAAAGGGCAGTAGGAAACCACAATTGAATTTTCCAGAAGTAGAATACAAAAACAAGAGTCAAAAGAATAGCCCCTAATGCTTTCAATTATACAATTAAGAGAAGTTTTTTGTCCTGAAATAAACATGAAAAAGCTTTAGATGCTAATTTTCATTTTTCATATACTTCATCAAACTTAATCCCGCGTGCAAGCCCGAAGGTTTCCATTATTTTCCTTTCTTACTGCAAGTTAACAACAATTACATGAGCAAAAACATTACAATAAAAAAATAAAAGGCAAGACCCAACTGAGTATACTTTCTTTAACAATCTCAGAGTTATTAAACAAGGCAATAAACATTTCTTATTTATTTCGTTCCAAAGTTTAAACTAAAAATAGTCATAAAAAAACTGATAAAACCATAATTAACTCCCGAAATGAAATCCTAATTCTACTATAAAACCCTAGGGAAAAAGTAAATAAAAGAAAAAGAAAAAGGTAATTGACTCCATTCAAAAACCCCAAGTCTCCAATTCTGAAATCCAAAATACAGAAGAGATCTACGAACTCCAAACCCAAACAACATAGAATAGAATGAAAGACCTGAAAGGCGGAGAGTGCAACGAACTGATCGAGCTTGAGAGAGAGTTGATTCCAGAGTTTCTTCTGATACAGATCTGCAAGAGAATTGTACCAGTCGGCTAGCTCTGGATGTTCATTTTGAATAGACTCTAGGTATTGCAAGGCCGCCATGGATCTCAAATACACCCCACAGAGTCGAAGCACAGAGAGAGAAGCTGAAGCCTTAAGGATTTAGAAATTTCAACTTTGGTTTTCTGTGACTCAATAAGAGTTCTGAAGAGGAAAACAAGAAAATCGACTAAAGATCGGAGCCAAGAAAAGGATAATCATATTTCGGGTCGGCTTGTTGTGCAAGTTAAACTCGGCGGATAATGAGCTTTTCCGGGTTACATGATCTTGTATTTGGAGCACATATTATTATCTAGCCCTCCATTAAAATATGAGTAAATTACATTTAAAGTCACTTAATTATGAATTTGATAAAAAATGATTTTTTACGGTGGTTAAAATAATAATTAATCTATAAAATGACTAAACTGAACAAAATTAGAGGTTAAAGGCTAAAACAAATAAATAAATAATAATGTTAAAAATAATTAAATAAACATACTAATTAACATGTCGAGACTAAAATAAAAATAAACATGTTGTGTGAACCCAACTTCAAAAAAAATACAACTTAAGTGGGTCAAAATAATAATTAAACAAGTAAAGAGGGACTTAATGTGAAAGAATGTATATAGCCAACCCACACATGAATATATTGTACGGCTGAAGTTATTTCTTTCTTACAGTAAAAACGAGTTTAATGACGATTGAAAAACTTTATTAAATCATTATTATATTTAGAGAAGGATGAGGGTATTCAAAAATCTCTATTTTAATGGGATTCACTTTTGAAAAACTTTCTTATCTAGAATAGGGCAATTCTTATAAAAGGAGAGTTAGGGTTTTCATAGGAGGCATTAAGTTTTATAATTTAAGAGTTTTATAATTTAATTTTTTTATAACACTTGTTTTATAATATTAGATTTTTTTTTATATAAAAGAGTAATATTTTATATTTTAAAATTATTGATGTTATATGTATCTAAATATACTAAAACTTTATAGGTATTTCTATGATCAAGTATAAATATATATTTTTTTCCTAAACACTTTGATGTAACAGCATGAAAATCATAGAAGTATAATAATATATAAAAAAATATATGCTCATTTCTTTTTAAAGATTTATTATTTTATGTTTTACTCTAAAAACACTTTGAATGTGAGATAATTTAATATAGAATAATGTCAATAAAAAATACAAAAAAACTCTATAAATTGCACTATTTAATAAGATTGTTAGATTATCTAATTTTTTAATATTAACTGACATAATTTCATGATGTCTTTTAAAATCATCATATAAAAAAGAGAGATAAAAACAAGAGACAAATAATCGATTTCATCGTGCTAAAACTATTTTTTGTGACAATAATAAAATGTCACTTTTAGTGTCTTATAAAATATGACAAATTAAATTGCCACGAATAAAACTTATTAGTGACAAATGTGCAACGCCACTAATTCAAATTCAATCGTCATTATAATAAATCGTCACTAATACATGTTTTTCATTAGAGACGGTTTTACAACGTCATTATTTTATCTAAATGTCATTAAAAGGTTTCCCACCAAAGAATTTGGTGGGAAGATTTTGACGTCAAACATATAGTGACAAAAATCAATGACCATTTTTAAAATTGTCATAAAAAATATACAATTAATCAATAAATATGACGAAAATAAAAAAACGTTACATTATAGTATGTTTTGTGACGATATACGTAACGTCATATAGAAATTTTGTAATAAATTGAAAATTTTGTTGTAGTGTATCGATACTCCCTATAGGAGTACTGATACCCTCTGTACTGGACAATTTTATTTTGTTGAGAAAACATCCCCAACGGCTCCAAATCACTCCCAACGGCTAGAAACGGCCTCAATCTCATTCTAACATATAAATAAAAGTTAAAGACACTTGAAGAAGGTTAGAGAACACCTATCCAAACAATCAAACATAAAAGAATAGCTTTTCACTCTTTATTCATATTCTCTTGTAAATATTTTGTTATTGTGAGCTTTAATTCTTTGTAAACACCTACCTTAGAGGGGTTTTCTTTGTTTACATCTTTTTCCTTGTAAAGGGGTTTTGGTTCTAGCTGAGTCTTTGAAAAGCTAGGGAGTTTTGTAAATATTATATCTTTGTCCTTGAAAAATAAAGAAAAAATTAGTGAATTTGTTGGAAAAACCTTAGTGAGTAGCTAAGGTAGTGGATGTAGACTTAGTTGAAAAATCGAACCATTATAAATCGATGTGCAAAATTATCTATCTTTTCTTTCTCCTTACTCCCTAAACAATATTTGCCAATTCACCCCTCTTGTATAATTTTCGATTGTTTCAATTAAGCCTCTTCACATCCCAACAGAACACTATCAATAAAATAAATAACTAATATAAAAAAATTCAAATTTATGTTCAAGTTTCAGCTCCGCCACTGAATTCAACATAAATGATTTTGCATCCATTTCTTTATTACGTGCATCGTATCTTGCCATGCGTTTTAAATAATTAACTCAAAATAAAATATTAAAATTTTATATAATTAATAATAAAAATTAATAAAATGAAAACAACTTTTATATGAAACCACATCGTACTAAAAACAATTTTGCATTTGTAGACAAGTTAATGGAAAACGCAGCAGTAACAATTGAGGTCTCTAGGCAAACCAAGAAACTTCTACTGCAAGATGAAAAATCGCGGGGCACTACAAGCAAACCAAGAGATTTTGCTTCAAAGTTTCGATCACTTGCTTCTTGGTTCGGATTGTAATCCCCTAAACTCGGCCTATGCGTTTCAACTAAGTCTAGTGGATCACATACATGATTCTTAAGGACATTTTCTGAAACCGTTATTCAATCAATGTAAAATCACATTATAAATGACATGATATTATACTATCAAAACCCAACTCATAAATATAATATCAATAAGTAAAAAAAATTAATTTAAAACATGTCTTAAAAATCAAAATCACGATAAACCGAATATTAATAGCAAAAGTGTAATCACTATAAAATACAATACTTTAAAATAAGGTCAATGTCACCAAAATAAAGTCAACCTGAATGATAAAAACATTACAATCAAATATACTTCAAGAGATTTGTTGATCCTCCAAGTGCTCAATCAGGGGTTTTAACCAACAGTATCTGAAAGGAGGAAAAACATTTTCGAAATGTGAGCTAGGCTCAGTGTGTCCCACATTACCATAAAATCACAATAGGTACAATAAACGAGTAATAGTTCAATAAACCATCATAATTTCTTAATAGAGTTTAACTTTTGAAAATCATAGTTTAAACCCTTTTCTTGTGCACCATCCGCAGTTCCCAAAACTGCGTCCATATAGTTTACTTTAAGCACATAGCAAAAAGGAAGCCAACCTAAGGATAGGCTTTAGAGCTTGTATCATTAAGTCCGTAAGTCAATAAGTCCATATAGCTTACCTTAAGCACACAGCAAAGGAAGCCAACCTAATGAAGCATCTTGGGCCCGCGAGTCTACCCAAGAGTCACATTAGGTCCGTACTGTTTATTAGCTTGATCAGAGTTATACCATTGTAATTCAATCCAACCCAAAATCAATATAATTTATGCAATAAGCATAATTTCCATAAATTCGTAATCATATATAGGTGAAAACCAATAATCATATATCAGTCATTATTCATAAACCATCAATAAACAGTAAATCATAGCTTTAAATGTACCATATTTCAAAACAAATAAAACAATTAAATAATACTTAGGGAACACACCTCGATAATAGGTTCAAATAGTAGATTTACTGATTGCTGGTTTCACCACGCTCTGTTACAGTTTTCGAACGTGGTTTAACTGATCTAGAAGAGTTGGGTTGAGCTATCGAACGATCCGGAGAGTCTCTTATACCTTCAAATAATAATAATTTATCAGCCCCAAATCTTATTTAATTGTTCAAAGCTAAAATTCTTAAGTATATAAGCATTTTCAGGGTTTGACTATCAATTTGGAGGATTTCGAGTTTGAATTTGGTCAAACGGATTGCGGAATCGGAATCAGGACGTCGAAAAACATAAAGTATGACTTTTCAAAAATTTAAATTCTTGGTCAAAGTCAAAGTCAACCACTTTGACCGTCGATTTGGAGGCCTTCGGGTTCGAATTTGATGAAACGGACTTCGGAAACGGATTTGGACGTCGAAAACTATCAGAATAGGTATACTCGGAAAAGATTAACGGTCGTTTAATGGTCGGTCAAAGCCATTTTAAGTTTTGGTCAAAGGAGGTCAACGGTCAACGGTCGGGTCGGTTCAGACCGGTCAAACCGGTCAAAACCGGTTCCAAACCGATTAAACCGGTTTTCCAGCTTCCACTCTCCCTACGGCGGCGCGTGTGGCGCGTGAGACCTCCTCTGAGGCTCTAAAAATCCTGGAAAATTTTCTAAAAATTATTTTGAGCGATTTCGAGATACTTACAAAGATCGGTTCAAATTTTGAACGGCAGAGAGCTCGATTTCAACTCGGTCGAATCTTTGACTGCTCCACCTCCTCACGTGCCACCGTCGACGGAGACCGAGGATGACACCGTCGGACTCGAAACGGCACAAGGAACACGATGGTGCAGGAGGTGTCGTAAACGGAGCAACGATCGGCGGTGAATTTGAGATTTCTCGGCGATAGAGCTAAAAAAAACGTCAATGCTTTGACTTGAAATTACCGACGTTTGGCAGCGTTTCGCTTCAATTAATTTAAGGGGATTGTTCCCGACTCGATAACGAACACGATGGTGGTTTCAAAACGACGATCGGAATTCGGACGGCGTCGGGATCTAAGTCGGAAACCGGCGTAGGGGGAGGGGAAATTGGGAGCAATTGGGGTGTGGTTTTCTGTTTTGAAACAGAAAACCACGTATATAACATATAACATACCTAATTTTCTTGGGTAAATTCAGGGCTTGATCCCTAAATTTTCTTTAACTCTAAAACAAGCTCCAGGTTTTAAAATCTTTCAATTTAGTCCCCATAATTTACCAATTTTCACAATTAAAACCTCTAATTTCAATTAAATATTATTTTGAAAATATCCGGGTTGTTACAATTCTCCCCCTCTACAAGAAATTTCGTTCTCGAAATTTACCTTATGAAAATAGTTGAGGAAACTAAGCCTCCATTGACTCCAATGTCTCCCAAGTAGCTTCTGAGGGGCCTCGATTACTCATTGAACTTTGACCATTGGAATACGCCTATTCCGAAGAACTCGC